AAGTGCAGTAACAGCGAACTATTTGAACTGAAGAAAGTCTACAATGGAGCGCCTTGATTTGCCGTTGTTAGAAAGCGACAGAACACCCCCCACTGCTAATGTAATCAGAAACACACACACACACACACACACACACACACACACACACACACTCACACACTCACTCACACACTCGAACAGGCAACGGTATTATTCAAACAACCACGTCAGTCATACGACTTACCTCCCGGGTCCTGACGTCTATCCCTTATAAAGCCAAAACGAAGGCCCACCCACAAATTTGAAAAGCCTTGGATTGGGGGAATTTTAATCCATCCGCCCGTTTGTGTATGCAGATTAGCAGGCCGCCTTTGAGTGACATAATTCAACATTCAGCCGGTATTCTGACCCAGGTTTTAGTGGGTGAAGGTCATCTGAACTCTTAGAAGTCGACTCGTCCACTGACTTGAAGTTGCAATATTGCTTTGTCTTTTTTTCCTCATTCATCATAACTATCTGCTTGCCTGTACACTTCTTGCAGCTGTATCCTCATAAATCTATTTTTTAAAATCCATTCTTTTTCTAATATTTTGGTTGTTAATGCATGTCTGTAGGTTGCGTTGGTAGCCTAGTGGTTAAGTTACCGGATCCGTCATCGTGAGATTGCGGGTTCGGGGGTTCGAGCCTCAGCTCTGTCCGACGTTGTGTTCTTTGGAAAGACACTTAACAGAATTTCCCGTTTGGCTCCGTCCTTTCGGAGATGGACGTTAAACTCGGAGGTCCCGCCTCTTGATCTTCAATAACCTAATAGTGTTGATCCGTGCTTTATATCAATACTTATTCACCATTTTCTTCGTTTGCTTGCTTGTAGCTTAGAACGTATCCTTTAATGCTGAAAATGCTAACGTTTGCTATTTCAAACTAAACTAGCAGCGAGAATGCAGGGACTACGCTTACGACTTGTAAGAGTTAAGACCATGACTTCCCCAAGAGTGACCGGAATTCAGTGGCGCTGCCACATCACGCTGGGAGAAGATACCGAATAAGAACGGCAAAATTCATGTCACTGCTTCTGTTCTATTAAATACTCGAACCAGCTTTCAAAAATATTTCCAGTGTTCTTTTCAGTATTATTTCCTGTTATAAACACCTTTAATTTAACAGTGCAGTATGTAAGAGTTAGATCATTATTGTGTTACAGCTTTCACTCGTAACGGTGTCGACTTTTACTTTGATAATTTATACTGCAATTGAAATTGTTTAATACCTAGAAAGTATCTCTACAAGTAGGCGACTTGCTTCGTCTGGACGTCAACAGCTCCTTCTAGATCTGATCTGTTTTTCTGTATAACAATTAAGTGTTTGGAGGGGCGTGTTTACGAATGCCTCTCAATCTGTTCACAATTTGGTAACGGTATTGGTAGAAACAGGGACAACAGTGCTGGCTGCACGACAATGCAGCAGCAACAATAACAAAACCAACAATGGAAGAAAAGACTGATGATGATGACGACGACGACGACGACGACGACAACGGAGATGGACATTAATCTGCCTCCTTAATATCAACATCTCTTTTCAGCGTTGGAAGAAACATTAAACCCGTACCGTACTCGTCGATACAATAAGTGCCTCCTCTTAAATAACTGTTTTTAATGGTGAAAGAAGGACTTTGGCTAAGTGGGTGGTTGGCTGGTGCTCTGGTGTGGTTTGTTTGTTGTAGTTGTTTGGATTTTTTTGCTATCAAACATCTGTCGTCATCATCTCTCCACCTTGATTTTTTGCGTAACACCTCTAATCTACGGCACTTATATAACCTAACTGAGTTACACGCGCCGGAAAACCTTTTCTAAAACAACGGCAACAAAAACAACAACAACAACCTTTTTAAAAGCCCCACACATGATTGTTTACCCTTCCGATATCTTCGTAGAGCCTGGTAAAATTAATTTATAAGCTTTTATGTGCGGAGCTGGCAGTCACATCCGTCCGCCTATCATTCCGCACCATTCCTTACATTCATTCACAACAGAAACAATAAATTTCACCCCCGGAGTCGACGCGACAAAGCCGGAGGTAATCGCGACAGCAACTTTTCTTTCCGGCACGATACTAACATTCCCGCGGAATGCAGACACTAGACACTGAGACACAGAGAGAGACACGCGGCAGTGGACTGTGACTGACACACATGGCACTAGCCGACTGTCAGCGAGAGACAAGAAATTCACACCTGTTTCGATTTTCTTCAATATTTCGGTTTACTCGTTGATATATGCCCTGATCGTTGCAGGTCAAAGCAACCTGGCCGACAACTGGTCGTTTCCGAGCCCAATTGTTCAAATGGGGGAAGCTGATCGTTTGCTTTTGTTGTGTAACTTGGTTTAGAGAAGAGCATCTGTTAGTTAACCCAGTTCTAGTTCTACGTGCTTCGGCCGGGAGCTTTCCTCCGCGGTGTATCTGTCTTTCCCCGTTTGTCACCCCGCATCGTTTAACCCCC